AGTAGAGGAATTGGACCCTTTGTTAAGGCGTTTATCAAGAGATTGAGTTACACCGCCAAAAATTGGGCTCGAAGCTCTCACCTTACCAATGAGTCAACAACTGACATTTATGTCTTTCAATTTTTGCGTTCTAAAAAGAGTTGCATTAAGCCGGACAAAAGGCTGATGGCCTGTTGTTTTGAAAGCCCAATGGCTCATCGGGCCATGAATTGGCCGGGCCTGTCACATGACATTCTGGATGCTGCTTGAAGGTTAATGCACCATAGCTATTAAAATTGGATCGGTTATTGAATCATTAGAGTGATCAGATCAATGGTTTATTGGTTTAATAGTTCAGTCAATTGACCTCCTGACTTAGGAGAGCTTCATGTATGAATGATACGGTATACAATTCAGATTCCATATCATCATCGATGGGAAAGGCTACAGCCTTGGGGGCCATACCAAAATTTACCATCATTTAAGGTTATGTTATAATTTTTTTGAGATGTAAGTTATAATCTTTAAAGATCATGATTGTTTATGATAGATTGAGGTTGATAACGAAATTACAATTTTTAAAAGTTAAGTTATAATTCATAAGAGAGCAGTTATAACTGTTCAAAAAAAATTCATGATCGATCATATATATCTGTGATCGATCGTGATCCCTTTGTAACTGGATCCATCAAAGTCCATGAAGTTACAATTTTTTGAATTACAATTTTATCATACAAGTAGTAAGTGGAAGAGGTGTCCAAGGCGGTACCGTAGACTTCCCCATCATCTATAATGTACCACGCGCTTCCTAAACCACAAAGATTCAACAAAAGGCAAGAAAATAAAAAAGAAATATCTGACCATGATCTTGATCGCTCGGAAAGCTTTTGGCACCAAGTGACACCAACAAAATAGTCAGGCAGGCCTGTAGAATATATTTCCATGTAGTTGATTAGAAAAATATTTACAAATATGATAAAAATATTTATAAATATAATAAAAATATTCATAAATATAATAAAAATATTTATAAATGTGATAAATTTTATTGTATTAAAGAAAGTGGTACAAATAATTTATAATAGTGATAATAATACTCATAAAAATAATAAATTATTCACAAAAAATTATAAAAATATCTATTAATATAATAAAAATTAGAGTTATAGTACCAAAATTATTTTTTTGGTGCCGTACTCCAGTCTTATTTCCCTCCCACTATAGTGGTACACGTACACCCATCAGTTCCCTCAGCACAAAGCTAGGCATTTGGTCAGCAGGTTCGTTGTATAAGTCATTCGCTGGGTCCCTAGTGTGTCTGTCGTACAAGTCTATTGCACACAATTCCCGTATTTAATTGTTAATGCACTATTTATTGCTGATGCAGATATGAATTACCAGCGCGAACGTATAAATATTCGTTGAGGTTGGGATACCTGTATTCGGTACGATATTCGTCAAATATATATCGGATATATTTTTTATGTATTTGATAATAATTAAATATTAAAATGTTTCACAGATATTTTTGTGGTCGAGTAACATATATAATTTTTGAGTTTAATTTTTAACATCTTTTTTCGAATTCAGATACTATATAATACATTAACAAAAAATTCATATTATTTTAAAAGCACATGATTGTTTCTTAAGTATTATTTACAATTACATATCAAAAGAGTATAAAATAAAATCATTACATTATTATCTTAACAAAAATTACTTCTAAATACTAGGTAAATATTAGATTTGATTCCTTTAATTAGTCATGAATATACTATAACGATACGATATATATTTTTTTAAAACTAAAAAAAATTATTAATTTTCTTGATTGTATATTAAAGAACTACTAAAATATATAAGTATTAAATTGGTTGAAAATAATAAAAATATTAAATATATTTTATTATAGTCATATCTTATCCATACCCGTATCCTATTTTTTTAGACTTTGTCGTATCTATATAAGTATCCATACTTCATAGATTACGAGTTTAAAAATTTTAACTACACATGAAAATAAGTAGTCCATCGAACTATTTTTCTTAGGGATCGTTTGATACGTGGGTTTGGGAACATGGGTTGGGGAGTAAACCCCCTTAAAATCATGTTTGACAACTATGAAGTATGTATAAGATTTTAAACTCGGTCTGATCATGAAATCCAAGGGGGGAGTGGGTTTTATTTGTGAGTTTGGGGGTTGAACATGTAAATGACATTTATACCGTTATATATCTTATATATCTCATATATATAAATTAGTTAAGGGTACAATACTCATTTATATACAAATATATATTATCATAATAGTTATATATTTTTGCATATATCAAATATAGGTATGAACAATATTAAATATTAAATTCTATTTTTGAGTCAAACCTGAGTTTAGACAATCCAATCCAAAGTTCTCCCGAAAAATATACCAAAGAGGTGCTACTTCCAAACCCACCCAAACAAACAGGCTCGCAGTCTCCGACTCTTGGCATTTCTCGGATCCTCACCTTGTATCTTCTTTTTTTTTTGTCCAGTCTTTAATCCAAAATTTGCCATTGTCCTTTGGGTAAGATGAAATAGGCATAAAGAAAAGTTAACTTCGTTAATAATGAAAAAGAAAATGTTATTAAAAAAAAAAACATATGCCTTGTATTTATCACCTACTCTTGTGTTTTAAAAATAAAGTAGGAAAGGAAAATACTATGGTATAAGAAAATAATATTTATTACCGTACTAAAAATTTAAAAATACCCTAAAATAAAAAGTTATACTTCCAAAAATAGAAGGTTCTAAGAAGAACTCTTTNTACCGTACTAAAAATTTAAAAATACCCTAAAATAAAAAGTTATACTTCCAAAAATAGAAGGTTCTAAGAAGAACTCTTTTCTCGTTAAATTGATACTAATGATATTGATATTAGAGTATCCATTATGTATCACTGCACTTGTACTATTAAACGAATGAATTATTAAAGGAAAAAAACTTGAACTAATAACAAAAAGGGTAAATGATTATTTTTGGACATTGCCCTTTAAATTATAAAATTTTTTATATTATCCCTCAATTATTTTAATTATTTCTTATTGTTTCGAAACATCCAATATCTTTTTTGTATCATAGTCAAAGTAAAAAAATTACATAGTTTTGAGGATAAAATAAAATAATTTTTATTTAAATATATAACAAATATTAATAATAAGGACAATGTGAAATTAATCACATAATTGAAGGTCAAATGAAAAATATATATATAAAAATTAAAGAAGAATCATAATTAAGATGATCAAAATTATTTTGATCTTTTTCACTGGACCTTTTCCTTAATTTTTATTAATAATATATAACAAATATTTATTGTACTTATTTTTTTTTCCGTCTCCATCATTACGAAGACTAAGATTAAGATGAGGACGAGGACCAAAACACGGACAAGGGCAAAGATAGGGACGAGGAGAAAGAGGAAATGGAAGTAATTTAAACTCGAACCTCAGTATCCACTCTACCTGAAACATTGAAGATTGAGAAAAAAAACAAATTGCGAGGCATTATAATAAGATATTGATGGCATTTTGTTGCGACACTTTAACTTCAAACCTAAACCAAAGAAGTCAAGCCCTACAAGACAAAAAAGGAAGCACAGAGAGAGTTTTGAAACCGTTGGATTCAAAAGAATCAAACCGTTGTAGATTCCCAGCACAGACCGGCACATACTTGTAAAATGATTCTTTGACAATTGAATCTGGATTTGCCGTTATGACCAATCAAAGTGTGCCTGCAGCCAAACGCTGCCAACATCCTACACTCAACCACAATCGTTGACATCTTTGAAAGTTCAAAAGTTCCATTGTTTGTTCTTTCTCTATGTCTCTCTCCCCTCTTTAACTTTTTGGGTTCTGCAGTAAAACGGTACAGGTGCAGTTTGAGGCCATATTTATTCTCAGAAGGTGAAGATTTTTTTCTTGGAGGAATCTTTGGTTATGATTGTGATGTGAGATATTTCTTGATTATGCCTTGAACAGTGGTTTTTAAAGGTTTTCATGTTTGGTAGGCTAAAATTTTGTGTCTGTTTGTGTGTGAGTGAACTTTATGAGAGAACCCAACCATTGTACGTCAGATGAGCAGATACTCTTTTAGTTTTCTTGAGTAATTGTGCATTCCATTTTCCCTTTACTTTTCCCTGATATGGTGAGTGGTTGATATTGAAGGCAATTGGGTTCACTGATAGATTGTACATTGTCAGTTGTTTTCATTGATTGTGATCCTTCGACTCTTTTAATTCATGTTCATTGTTCTACTATTTATGCCAATTTTGTTTTGATTCGGAGTGTCATTCATATTGTGTATGTATGTGTTTTACACACCTTCCCCATTCTCTCTCTCTCTCTCCCCCCCCAATATGCAGACACACTTCCCCTCTAATTGCTTCTTGTGTTCTGATTATTTTCTGAACTTGATTTATTTTTGAGTTGGTTGTGATGATGTCCAGAATCAAATTGTACATCCACGTAGACCTACTGCAATTTTCATGTGTTTTTTTAGCTTTTTGGTATAATGTATCTACCGAGTTGATAAGGTTAAAAGAAAGGAGCATAACACTAATTTCTTCCTCATCTGTTAGGACTTTGTGGGTATTCCTTCATTGATAACTCTCCCAACTGAAAGGATCTTATCTAGGGGGTTGAAGATGTATGTTGTTGAGAGCAAAGGAGGTGCTATAGTATGTATGCTGTTTTCTCTTTTCTTCTTGGGTACATGGCCTGCTATTTTGACTCTCCTGGAAAGGCGTGGCCGTCTTCCTCAGCACACTTACCTTGATTACACCATCACTAATCTTTTGGCTGCTGTAATCATTGCTTTCACATTCGGTGAGATCGGGAAGAGCACACCAGAGCAGCCAAATTTCTTGATTCAGCTTTCTCAGGTAAGGGAGTTTGGCCTCAAGTGGAAACAGAAAATATCTATAGTGGTATTCACGGGCCTCCTAAATAATGTTATTTGATATTTAGTCTCATGGTTAGTATATCAGTATTTTATTTATGTTTTATGCAGTTTAAATATTGGTTCTATTTGAAATCACATGAAGTAAAACTGAAATATTGTTTTTCAATTTGATTGTCGGGATCTTGGAGATGTTACTTAGTACTTCTTTCTTGGGAGGATGACAAAGTCTCTCCACATGCGGGGTAAGGTTATGTCCATTTGACCCTCTCCAGATCCCACTTTTGGAACCTCATGCACCGGCTCACCCTTTCTTGGGTGGACGAAAGAAGGATACTGCCACAGTAACTAAGGATCAAAATTTCGTTTCAGTGTATTGTTTCGGTCACCTAAGAAACGTAAACGTTTCGATGTATTTTGGAAACGTTTCGACTCATTTCGAAAACATAATGAAAAAAATAAAAAATTNAGTAACTAAGGATCAAAATTTCGTTTCAGTGTATTGTTTCGGTCACCTAAGAAACGTAAACGTTTCGATGTATTTTGGAAACGTTTCGACTCATTTCGAAAACATAATGAAAAAAATAAAAAATTTAAGAATTATTTTTCTAAAATATGGATTTAAATATATCAAAGTATCATGAAATACCTTGAAACATTTTGAAATACCTCGAAATATTAGAATTTCAATTATATCACTAATTTGTGTTGATTTCCTTGGAAACGGAAACGTTTCAGACGTTTCGACCTTTTCGAAATGNTTTAAGAATTATTTTTCTAAAATATGGATTTAAATATATCAAAGTATCATGAAATATCTTGAAACATTTTGAAATACCTCGAAATATTAGAATTTCAATTATATCACTAATTTGTGTCGATTTCCTTGGAAACGGTAACGTTTCAGACGTTTCGAAACGATAATTTGATCCTTGACTGTAACTATAAACTACGATTGTATACATTAATTAGAACATTTACATGTAACTCAAAGACGGAATAACTTACATGAGGGTCCCCGAAAATATGAGTGATATACCCATGTCTCATTACTAAAATTGAGAGTGGAAATCAGCCTCAGAAGGTGTATGCTTAGATATAAATCAAGTCAGACATTTTTTTTTTCTGTGAAAAATTAGAACATGTGCTCTTATGTGATGCATCTCACGGTAACTCCATAATTGGAACCACTAGATGCCTTTTATTTTTTCCACTCTGTTGTGATGCTGTCTCTCTGGAACCTTAAATCTCAAGCCATATAGACCACTAAACGTTGGTTTAGAGTAAAGGTCTCAGTAAGTTTCAGTGATTCTTGCAACAAAAGTGATGTGAGTGTATTTCAGAGCAGGTGTCAGTTTGAGATACTCTTGCAACAGAGTGTTGAGATCAATTGTAGTAGTTATCTATTAATTTTCCATATGCCTTGTGGTTTTCATCTCAGTGAGATGATTTTTGCAAATTTTGGCAGTACATCAGAAGATACCGATCTGGGTTGTGTTGTGGGTGTCAATAAAAGCAATGTCTTTGGGTTCATGTTAGATAGGATCTTGTTTAATATTATATGTTTGGGGTGCTGTAATCTGTATTTGTACATTCTTCAAGGTGGACCGAGAGTGCTGATAGAATTTATGAATGACACTCGCTGATTCAGACTGCCTTTGTGTTACTCCTTTGGATGAACTCATTCTTATGATGCGAATTTCGCTTTTGTGGTCTTGAATGTTGCTATTGGAGTTGTTCATGAGGTGGTTCCACATAAAAGAAGCCAGTGTATCTTGTTAATTTGAACCAATCATTTTTTAAACACAGCAAGGTTCTAGTTATTGTGTCAACGTTTTGATTACCTGTATAATTTGTAAGTTGCAACTGTTTTTCATATTCAAAAATGATTGATGCAGGACAATTGGCCAAGCGTTTTGTTTGCAATGGCTGGTGGGATAGTCCTCAGTGTCGGAAACCTGTCAACACAATATGCTTGGGCCTTTGTTGGTTTATCTGTGACTGAGGTGATCACTTCAAGCATAACTGTTGTTATAGGTATCATTTTTTCTTTGAATATGTTCAATGGACTTAATTTTTTGTCTCACTATGCCATCTGCAAATGTGTCACATGACATTATATTGGAATCTTACATGTAGCCTTGTGATCAAATTGTAACAGGCACAACATTGAATTACTTCTTAGATGACAAAATCAATAGAGCTGAAATTCTTTTTCCTGGTGTTGGATGCTTTTTGATTGCTGTCTGTCTGGGCTCTGCTGTTCATGCATCCAATGCCGCAGACAATAAAGCGAAACTTGGTAATTTGTCAGATGTTCACAAAAATGGGACAGGGTATAAAACTTTCTAGTATGATTGTACTTTTTAGATAAGATGTGGTCGAAAAATAACAGTTTATGTCACTCATGCTGCTTGTTTTTTAGTTTGTAAATTCGGTTCAGCTAAAAAGGGCCCCCAGTAAAAATGCAAATCCAAATTGATATTATATGGAGTCTTAAGAGTAAGGATCAAAATTTTGTTTCGGTGCATTGTTTTGGTCACCTAAGAAATAAAAACATTTTGACGTGTTTTGAAAACGTTTCAATCCGAATTCAGAAACACTNGTAAGGATCAAAATTTTGTTTCGGTGCATTGTTTTGGTCACCTAAGAAATAAAAACGTTTTGATGTGTTTTGGAAACGTTTCAATCCGAATTCAGAAACATTGATAAAAATAAAAAATTTAAAAATTATTTTTCAAAACATTGGTCGAAATATATCAAAATATCTTGAAATTCCTTAAAACATTATGAAACACCTTGAAATATTAGAATTTCAATTCTATCACTGATTCGTTTCAGTATCCTTGAAAACGAAAACGTGGGATTTAAGCAAAGTAGTCTGATATGTACTTCCTTTTTTCCGGTTCATCAAACCGCACTCGCCCCCTTATTTGAGTTAGGGGCTTAATAGGCCGAGTAAGGGCCCATTCTTCCCTTTAGAGATAGGGGCGACATAGCTAGTGCCATTTTTCTTTAAGGCGGAAAGTCTTTTCGGATGTTTTGAAACAAAATTTTGATCCTTGCCTAAGAGCATAAGTGCTTTTAGGTGGATCAATTTCCATTCAAACCTAATGTTGAGACTCTCATGGCCTGCTAATTTTTTTGGTAAAAGCATCCACAAAAATATTGACAAATATGAAACAATTTTTTGGAGCCTTTTCCTGGATTTACCTTTTCAGCCATGAAACATAACCTCTTGTTTTAATTGTTCTTGTTTTTTGTATGGTTATTTTTTGTGATTTTATAAGAATAAAATACTAATTGCATTGGTGCCTTGTACCAATTTATTAACCACTGAGAGAAACACTGCTTTTATCTCTAAAATGAACTTTGGCAGGGCTGGGACATCTGTGGCTATAGAAACATATNAAATATGAAACAATTTTTTGGAGCCTTTTCCTGGATTTACCTTTTCAGCCATGAAACATAACCTCTTGTTTTAATTGTTCTTGTTTTTTGTATGGTTATTTTTTGTGATTTTATAAGAATAAAATACTAATTGCATTGGTGCCTTGTACCAATTTATTAACCACTGAGAGAAACACTGCTTTTATCTCTAAAATGAACTTTGGCAGAGCTGGGACATCTGTGACTATAGTAGAAACATATCCAAACGCAGGTAAGAAACTGTCTGGAGCTTGCTTTTTATAGTTGACGGGTTGTTTCACCTGCAACGGCTTGTCTCTAATCTTTTGTTCAATATTGAACATCCGTAGTTGCAATGAAGGATCCGGAAAATGTAACTGGCACCAAGGAGAGGGCAAAATTTGGAACTGNCTAATCTTTTGTTCAATATTGAACATCCGTAGTTGCAATGAAGGATCCGGAAAATGGAACTGGCACCAAGGAGAGGGCAGAATTTGGAACCGCAGAANTCCAAACGCAGGTAAGAAACTGTCTGGAGCTTGCTTTTTATAGTTGACGGGTTGTTTCACCTGCAACGGCTTGTCTCTAATCTTTTGTTCAATATTGAACATCCGTAGTTGCAATGAAGGATCCGGAAAATGTAACTGGCACCAAGGAGAGGGCAAAATTTGGAACTGCAGAATTTCTCGTTGAGCTTGAGAGCAGAAGGTCCATAAAGGTTGGTATACACAAGTTTTAACTCGGCACTTTCAATATCCTATGTGCAATTATATTTATGTAGATCACTGCTCACATTGACGGCATGTAACAAACTCCTGCATTGACTTACATGGCGTACTTCTCTGCTTCTGCTTTTTGTATAAAGGATCATTTTCCGTCAACATTTGAATATTGGTCTCCAACAGCACAATTGGCTTGCTTTGNACTGCTCACATTGACGGCATGTAACAAACTCCTGCATTGACTTACATGGCGTACTTGTCTGCTTCTGCTTTTTGTATAAAGGATCATTTTCCGTCAACATTTGAATATTGGTCTCCAACAGCACAATTGGCTTGCTTTGTGTCAATAAGGAGAGCATACTACAATATTCTTCTCTGACAATATTTGAATATTGATTTCCAATGGCATAATTGGCTTAGTGTCAATGAGAGCATACAACAATATTTTTCTGTAACTGTAGGGAATATACATATGTTTTCACGAACAATCTCGAGTTTCTGCATGGATGCATGTCTCCAGGAGTGTTTAGTCGTTAAAATTGATTTGATTCCACTTGCAGGTGTTCGGGAAGAGCACTTTTATTGGCTTGTCCATCACTTTCTTTGCAGGAGTTTGTTTTTCCCTCTTCTCACCAGCATTCAACCTTGCAACAAATGATCAATGGCACACTTTGAAACATGGTGTCCCCCACTTAAGTGTTTACACTGCATTTTTCTACTTCTCGGCCTCTTGTTTTGTGGTTGCCATCNAGTTTGTTTTTCCCTCTTCTCACCAGCATTCAACCTTGCAACAAATGATCAATGGCGCACTTTGAAACATGGTGTCCCCCACTTAAGTGTTTACACTGCATTTTTCTACTTCTCGGCCTCTTGTTTTGTGGTTGCCACCATTCTGAATATCAGCTTCCTGTATTACCCTATTCTAAAATTACCTCGATCATCACTAAAGGCTTACTTGTCAGACTGGAATGGCAGAGGTTGGGCCTTTTTGGCTGGANCATTCTGAATATCAGCTTCCTGTATTACCCTATTCTAAAATTACCTCGATCATCACTAAAGGCTTACTTGTCAGACTGGAATGGCAGAGGTTGGGCCTTTTTGGCTGGACTTTTGTGTGGGTTCGGGAATGGACTCCAATTCATGGGAGGTCAAGCAGCTGGATACGCGGCAGCAGATGCTGTTCAGGTAAGTGCAAACATATCTTTTATATGGACATTAGATACGTTCGCTGAAAATCTTGTTATGTGACTGGTGTATGCTCACCTACCGCAATGCTCATTGACTCATTCATCTGAAATTTGGGTGGCTTCGCAGGCACTTCCACTTGTGAGCACCTTTTGGGGCATACTTATTTTTGGAGAGTATCGGAAATCGTCAAGAAGAACATATGTATTTCTCGTGGGCATGTTGTCTATGTTCATTGCTGCTGTTGGGGTTCTCATGGCATCATCGGGGCATCGGAAATGAATTTGCAGCCTTAAAGATTCAAGTCGTGTTATTGCATTAAGACATCAAAAGTCAAAATTGTTTATAGTTTAGTTGGAACAAAGCAATTGCTGCAGCCATATCTGGTTGGTGAAGATGTGAATAATCAGTGGAAGAAAGTTATACAGACACCCTTTTNAAGGGTGAATTTGATTATGCCATGAAAAATGGCTTCTCTGGATTGAAGACCTAGTAGACCTCCAAGTCTTCAAGTATTAAAGATACTCTTAAAAACTTTTCTATGTTGACACAGATCCTTTGGTGAGAAAAATGGGTTGTTTTCTTATGAAAGTAGATGAGTACCTTTCAAAACCCCAAGAAAGCGTCAAAGTTTTAACCTCTAGAGAAAGAGATAGAAGGTTGGCGACAATTGATAGCACGATATCCGGAGGACAATTCAAAGTTCTTGGCTTGAGTGAACAACTGTTGAAATCTGAAGCAGAGTTATTGAGTCTTGATGATGAAATCCGGCAACTGCAAGATCAGAGGGCCGAGGTAGCATGCAGTATTGACTTCATTCGTGATGAACAACAGAACACTGAAGAGACTATTGTGGTGACGGAGAAAGAACATGTTGAACTCCAGGAGTCTCATATTCGTAGTGTTGAGGAGATACAAGATATAGACAAGATGCAATCCATGTTAGAGAAAGAATTTACTTCACTAGCCTCGATCGACTGGGTTGAGAATTTTTTATGATTTCATAACTCCTCAATTGTAATTCTTTATATATATATATATATTTAGCAAATATGGATGTTTAAATTTGATTTTTTTTTATTGTACTAAAAAAATATTGATTCTCAAATAACTTAGATATCTTAAAAAAATGTTTAAGTTTAAACATAATTTTGAAAGAATATTTTTTTTTTGAGCCGTACACAGTTTTAGCTCATGCGGGCCAGGAGCAAAAAATTTTTGTTTTTGGTTGACCCGTACATAGTTTTAACTCATGCGGGTCAAGAGTAACATTTTTTTTTTATTGTCGTTAAGCTACGTAAATTTTTTTTTAAGCCATACATAGTTTTAACTCTTGTGAGCCAAGAGTAACATGCAGTTTAGGCTCGTGCGTAAAGGAGCGCATGAACTTTTATTTTTGGTCAAGCCGTACACAGTTTTAGCTCATGCGGCCTAGGAGCAAAATGTTTTTGTTTTTGTTTTTTTTTATAGGTTGGTGCAGTGCACAGTTTTAACTCATGCGGGCCAGGAGTAACATGCAGTTTAGGCTTGTGCGTAAAGGAGCGTTGCTTGTTTTCAGGCATAGAAGCACTTTAAAAATTTCCCATTGATTGGGTCAACCCTCAAGCCATCTTTGTCAACAATCTTGTATGCGCCGTTGGTGTAGACTTCTTTCACCACATATGGACTATCCCATTTTGGCATGAATTTTCCACCGGTGCGATGTGGAATGACAATGGGTCTTTGAATTGCAAGGACCAAATCTCCTATTTGAAATGATCGGACATGAACCCTCTTATTAAAGGCTTTGGAAAGTCTGGCTTGATAACATTCCAGGTTTTGTTGTGCATGTAGTCTCTTCTTGTCAAGTGCTTCAAGCTCATCTAGATGTAAATGAACATTTTCTTCATGTGTGAGTTCTTCTTGTAAGGCAATCCGTAGGGAGGGAATTTGACGTTCCAAAGGAAGAACAACTTCAACGCCATACACAAGGGAGTATGGAGTAGCTTGTGTTGGAGTTCGGTATGTTGTTTGATATGCCCAAAGAGCTTCACCAACCCTGTCATGTCAATCCTTCTTTGATTTGGAGACAACTTTCTTCAACAAGTTGCACAAGGTTTTATTGAAGGCTTCTACGAGTCCATTGGCTGGTGCGTTGTAAATGGATGAATTATGTTATATAAACCCAAATTTGATGCAAAGCTTAGCCATGAGGCTATTGACAAATGGTTTTCCATTATCAGTGATAATGTAACGAGGTACACCATATTGATATATAATATTTGTTCGAATAAAATTGACAACATTCTCTTTTTTCACTTCTTTAAGAGAAACTGCTTCCCCCCACTTAGAGAAATAATCAGTTGCTGCTAAGATGTAAAGATGTCCTACTGACGATTTTGGAGTCAAAGGTCCTACGACATCAAGTCCCCATACATCAAAAGGCCATGATGCGATTGTAGGGTGCAATGAATCAGGTGGCTGGTGAATGAAGTTGGCATGGAACTGACAAGTTTGACATTGCTTAGCATAACTCATCGAGTCTTACACCATAGTGGGCCAATAATACCCCATTCTCTTTATGTGGAAATGTAATTTAGGTCCTGAGTGATGAGCACCATAGATTCCAAAATGAGCTTCCTTGAGTGCTTGAGCAGCTTCATCTTCGTACAAACATCACATGAAAATACCATCAAATGATCAACGATAGAGGATGCCTTTATAATAAATAAATCGAGGAGCTCTCCGTTGTATCTCGGTTCTATGACGTGGGTCATTTGGTAATCTTCCATACTACGAATAATCAATCAGAGGTTGTCTCCAATCTTCATTTTCAACATACACTACTGAAATGGTAGTAACTTCCTCCATTTCAGGGAGTAACGAAGGTATTACCCATCTTTGACAAATTGGAACTGAAATTATTCGGTAATAGGGTTTTGTAAGCACGACGGTAAGATTGGCAAGAACATCAGCATATCTGTTTTCACCGTGTGGTACGTTTTCAATGGTGACTCGATCAACTAATTCATAAGTTGAGTAGCATAGCGACAGTATGGAATCAAATATGGTTTGCAAACATCATACAATTCTAAAACTTGATGAACCACCAGCTGCAAGTCTCCATAAATTTCCAACTGAGAGAGCTGCATATCAAGTGCCATTTCTAAGCCAATGATCCAAGCTTGGTACTCCGCCATGTTATTGGAGCAAGACTTTGTCAAGGTAATTGCATAAGGCAATACTTTGTCTTTAGGGGTAATGAAGACCACACCTACACTAGCTCCATACCTTCGGGCAGCACCTTCTCGAGAGAATTGGTCTTGACAGGATCAGATTTTGAAATGAGATGAACAACATGAGCCAGCATATAATGCCTCAACTTATTTGTAGCAAAGACTAATGCAAGACACATCTTTTCAATAGGTGAGTAGTTTAGTTCTGCACCTACTAATGTCCGACTCAGATAGTATAATGCGTTTTCATTTTCCTCGTCATTAATTTGTGCTAAGATTGCTCCTAATGATTGTTCTTGGGCAGCAATATAAAGGATCAATGGTTTTCCCTGAATTGGTACTGCGAGGACCAGGGGTTGAATGAGATATTGTTTGATATTTTCAAAAGTATTCTGACAGGCATCGTCCCATTCAGAAGGAACACCCTTTTTCATTAGTTTATTGAATGGATGACAACGTCCGGTGGGGTTCGAGATAAATCTTCGTATATAAGCAAGCCTTCCTTGAAGACTTTTCAAGTCATGCAGATTGTGAGGCTCTGACATCTTTAGAATAACCTCTTTGACTGATCAATCTCGATGCCTCGATGCCTGACAATAAATTTGAGGAACTTGCCAGAGGTAACCCCAAAGGCACACTTTAAGGGTTTCATTTTTAGTTGATATCTCCGAAGCCGTTCAAAAATATTGCACAAATCATCAAGATGATCTTCACATCTTTTTGTCTTTACGACCAAGTCATTAACATAACATTCAACCTTTTTGTATAGTACATCATCAAAAATCTTTTGCATTGCACGTTGATATGTGGCATCAGCATTCTTGAGTCCGAAGGGCATCACTCTGTAGCAGTAAACTTCCTTGAGGGTTTGAAATGCAGTGAGTTCTTCGTCCTTAGGGTCCATTCGAATTTGATTGTATCCAGAGGAACCATGCATGAAAGATAAGACCTCATGTCCCGTAGTCGCATCAACCATGAGTTCTGTAATCGGTAGTGGAAAGTCATCTTTCGGACATGCTCGATTTAAATCTCTAAAATCAACACAAACTAGAATTTGTTCATTCTTTTTTCTGACAGGCACAATATTAGCAATCCATGTTGGATATTTGACTTCTCGAATGAATTTAGCGTCTATCAACTTATTGACTTCAGCTTCGATCTAGGGGACTAGTTCTGGACGGAATCTTCGTTGTGGCTGCTTAATGGGGCGAATTCCGTGTTTAACAGCAAGATGATGAATTGAAACTTTGGGATCAAGCCCTGACATTTCTTTGTATGACCATGCAAAAACATCTTTATACACTTGTAATAGTTTAAAGTACTCACCTTTCTTTTGAGGTTTCAGAAGAGCACTGATGAATATTGGTTTTGGATCATCTTCCATTCCTAGATTCAATTGCTTTAGATCATCAACAATGGTTTGCCCTCCTTTTTCAAAAGTCGATGGTGCTGGGTCGGGCTTATCATTAGAAGTTGAGCCTTCTAGTTCTAAAGTTTCATCAATAGTCACATGGTTCACAGAGACAACTTCTTCCTCAATCTTGAATTTATTGATTGGTAAGGAATAAACATCCCTCGAACATACCTGATCCAAGTTTCAAAAAATAATGCACATTCTCATATTTCCATCCTTATTTCTCAGTGATACAATGTTTCCAATCCACACGGGATTTTTTGCTTCCCGAATGAAACTAGACTTGACCAACATATTGACTTTGGCTGAAAATTGTAAAACTGATTTTTTACAGAACCACTGAGGTGAAAAAATGTCATCCGTAATAGCAGAATAGATGATTGCATCATTGTGACCAATATCTTCATGATCATCCTCAATATTCTCAACCATATCTTGCCCCTATCCTTCACAGGTGATAAAAGTTTGGTTGGATTCATTTGTTGAGGATAATTCTTCAATATCAAATTCTTCCACTGTTGTTCACTTAATGGTGACATAGTTCAATGAGACAACTTCTTCTTCGATGCTTTTGGTATGCACTATTTTTTGTCTTTTCTTATTTCTTGAAAGCAAGTCTTAGGTAGCTATAGGATTATTGAGATTAGTAGTGC